CAATCCGAATCACTGAATCTGTCTGAATCAGTGCCAAATCTTCTGAAGCTGATTCAGCTGAATCGATTCAGGACAGTGATCCAAATATCCAAATTGAATCACTCTCCTTCGGACTGGCTGAATCCGAATTAAATACTTCCCTATTCGCACAGGCCTAGTTTCTGTATGAGGTTTAAGACTCTTGCTAGGTTTGTGGTCTCTATTAGTAGAAGTAGGTGGGCTATCTCAGGGGTTCCCAACCTTTTTATTCTGTGGACTGGCAAACTATCTAATTTACATATTTAAATATAATTTTTATGGTGGGGTTGTGAGGTTGGGTTGGGGCACCAGGGGACCCTGCAGGGGATTGGGCTGCATAGGCGGTGGCCCAGGGGGACTCAGCTGGGGCTGCCCAGGAAGAAGGGTCTGTGCTGCTTTTCCAAGAGCAAGCAACAGAGCCACCTCCCCATCGTCTGCCCCGGGCATTTCCCCATCCACATTCCCCTGCTCCCAGCTGCGGGTGGAGCTGGGGGGGTCCTGCCTGGCCCAGTGTGGGCCCCAGTTACCTGGTGCACCGGCAGTGCCTTGCCAGGAGCAGCCATGGTGGTGGGAGTGGGACAGGGCGCATAAAGCCAGCTGCCTCCTTCCCAGGGCTGCCCTGCCACCCAGCTTTAACCCTGCACATGACTGCCGGTGGTGGAAGCCACGGCCCGGTAGCCAACCCACCATGGCCCGGAACCGTAGTTGGGAACCCCTAGCCTATCCCATAGAAACAATTTTACATATGAAAAAGTGGGGGGGAGGGTTGAGGAGAGACCAAAAGGAGATGGGAAAACTTGTACGTGTAGCAAAATTTTATTATATTCTCAAAAATGTGCATTCAGCTGCCAGTTTAACATTCAGTTTAACTTTGTGCAAAAATAGCTATGTGATTAAGCCAATTATACTAATGCACTCAAAGCTAAAAAATAACTCTGCTTATCAGATAAAATGATATTTTAAAACTCCTAATGACCAACTGTTTAATCTAAACATACTAGGCTCATGTCAAGGGTTGCATATAAAGGATTTTCTCCATGAAGTTTAGGTCTAATATTTATCCTATACAGATATTAACATGATGTTATTCCATTTTGAAGCATGTGTTTAAATACAGAATTGCTGAGAGAGAGAGACCTATAGATGCAATGTTTGAGGCACACCACAAAGTAATGACTTTCCCTTCCCACTTTTGCACTAGCTAACACAAGTTGTTCACACAAAATCATGACACACACATTGGTTGGGATAAATTCCTTGACCACAAGGAAAAAGATTCAGGATCAACTCCTTAGCAAGACTTTGATTCAACTGGGTTCTGCGTAGGCATGAATTTACCTGGCTGAGCTGTTTACAGGACTGAGATACATGTAGGAAAAAAAAAGATTTTTTTTATAGAACAGAATATTATTTAATATCTTATCACAAACATGAATTGTATGTACTTATTGACATTTAAAACAAATATATGAGGAACAATGGCTAGAACTACTTTAATGGTTCTGTGTAGTGGGTATGTGCTAGAGGTATGCTGAGAAATTCACACTTAGTCCAATTCACTGTAGGTATTTCTTTACTGCTTCAATCTGGTAATATAAAAGGAGCTGGAATCCTTCCTTAGCCAACGGAGTGAAAATTGGATAGTAGCATCTCTTGCAAAAGAACAAGCTAAGTTTAGGAACAATTTGAGGGAGTTGATTAGTTATGTGTGTGTTCGCTTAAACAGCAATGAAAGCAAATCCCAAGAAAGAAGTGTACCTAGGCACAAACACCATGTATGTTAAAACTCCCCTGTGCTTCTGCCCACTCACACAATCAAATTCTATTCAAATTGTAGTAGTGTAGGTCTTTAAATTTAAAAATATGTTAATTAAATATTGTTTTTGCCATTGCAGGATTTCAATGCATTTAATTCTTTCTTTGGTCTCCCAGGATGTCCTGTTATCTATTAATAGTCTGGAAGTTTTTAAATATTTTTTTTCTCTTTTTCAGAAATTTTATGAATAAGAACCAGAAGCCAGTGCTAACAGGCCAGCGATTCAAAACTAGGAAGAGGGGTAGGCTATGCAATTTCTTTTTTATTTACCCTATTATGGAAGCAGGATTATTACTGTTACATAAGGTGGGGATGTCCAATGTCTGGACAGCCAGGGGACACATGTTGTGCGTGCTGCACCCTATTTTCCTACTCCCCCCGCACTTCCTGTGTGTTCCCTCTCTCCTGGCCGTGCAGGCTGCACAGGGCGGCCCACCCTGTAACAGGCAGCCCAGCTCTCCTTGCTGCACATGTAGCAACACCTCCTTTTTCCGCTGCACAGCAGGTAGCATGGGCAGCCTGACTTCCTCCTTTACAGACCACACAGCACCCTGTCCTACCATTTGAGCACCATGGGCATCCTGGCCCCTTTCTCCTGTGCTGCCCTGCCCTGAGAATTTGGGGCAAGAACCAGAAGCCAGAGGAAGGAGGAAGCCTGGAAACCTTGTCTGAGAGAAGTGGGCAGACTCTGGTCCCTGGGAGCCTGTAGATTACTTTTTAACCCCTTGCAGGCTGCCAGTTGAGCAATCCTGATATAAGGCATTGCCTGCTATTTGTGCTATATCCTGTGGTTTTAAATGCTTTTACTTTTAAGATCTAGAAATTGGACAGATGGAGTAAGTGATGAGTTTGGTAAGATTAAGATGTTTCCCCCCTCTCTATGTTAAAATAGTTACCAGTTTAATTTTAACTGTGGAATTATGCTTTTTAAGAACTTTAGAAAGGACATTTGGAGCTTAGGGTTGATTTTAATATTAATGTATAGGAGGGTATGGGGAAGAATAAAATTTAACCAGGATTACAGTAGATATAGGTACTGGAAAAATAGTTGTTGCTATTTTTAATAATTCTTCCAGCTGCCACTCTAAAGATCTTTTTTCGATAAAGAATGAAAAAATAAAAGAGCTTTCTTAAGAGAAAAGCAGCATAAAAAGTTTTGAAATTTGAATTTGATACATTTTAGTATCAAATCTGTATCCCAGAAGTTTGGATACAATTTTCCAATGTTTATTTCTACTGTGATTTAATTTTAAGTTACTTTTCCATTCAAATTAAAAATACCAAAAAATTAATTCCCCTTTTCAGGAAATATCAATAATTTGATATTTTAAATATAACTAGTATCCATTTCTTTCTTTTCAACATTTCACAAATGAAAGTATATTATCTGTGCATAACTGGCATAATTGGCATGAATGTGTTTTATGCAGCGGGAAGTAATTCCAACCAATGAATGTTGGGGTGCAGTTGATTGGTCACTCCAGGTTGTGGGTCTCATCTAGGAATGAGGGTAGGAAAGGCCTGATTAACAAAAATGCTGCTCATTCATTTTAAGGGCGACTCATAACGGTAATAAATTTGGAAACTACTGTCAGCAAAATGAAACAATGCAAATTTTAACTTTTTGAAATCTAGTTCTTAGATTATCCTGAAAAATTTTCAGCCATTTTCAAAATGCTTCAGTTCTCTTCTGACTTTTTTTTGGATCCTGGGGGCAGTAACTAATTCTGTATATAAATTGAACTTGATTTCAAGTACTTTGGTTTGTAGTGAATTTATTGGCAAGTTTAGACGGTATTATGTGTTGACAATCTGACTGAAAGCTTTAATCTAAGTTTATCTGTTCCGGAGAGGCTCTTAGAGCCATGTTACCCTCTACCGCCTCCTTAACTAAACTGTAGTAGTCTAATATCCTCATGTTACTTTCCTGTGCTATTAACTGTGTGCCATTTTAATGAATTCACTTGTTTTCTGTTTGTGGGTGTTTGCATGAAGAATGTCCTTGTCTTTCCAGTGAGTAACACCTGCCCTACTTAACCGTCCCAAGAGAAAACCATTGCTTTTCTTCCTTCCTAGCTATATGTTGCCTGTTTGGGGCTTATATTTTCTTCCTTCCTTTGAGCCCTCCAGAAATGAAATATAGGCATATTCACCCTTATTAAATATTACCATATTTACTCATACAACATATATGCCTTTTTCCCACAAAGTTAACACTCCAGCACTGGGGTGAATGTCATAAGTGGGAAAGCTGATTTTTATGCCTGGAATAGAAGCATGCAGATGCTGTAAAATGGCTCCTGCTTCTTCTCTCTCCTCTCCCTCCCTACCCTTGCGTTTGCATGGAGGGAGTGGTAGAGACTAGTCTTCAGCAGTAGCTACAGTTTTAACCTTTTCATAGCTGAATTGGAGCAGGGTATAGAGCCAAATCCTTGGAGGTTTTTAAGACCCAGCTAGACAAAGTCTTGCCTGGGATGATCTAGTTGGAAAAGGTCCTGCTTTGAGCAGGTGGTTGGACTAGATGACCTCCTGAGGTCCCTTCCACCCTAATTTTCTATTATTCTATTAAAAAAATCTTCAGCTTACTCAGCCTCACTTTCCTACTCATGAAAAAGCAGCCAGTTCAGCTCTGAAAGGGCTGTGGATAAGATTACACATTACAATTAGACCATGTTCTAACCATGTTCTAATCTAGACAATTAGACCATGCTCCTGAGGCAGCTCTCAGAGACCATAAAAACTAAGGAGGCGGTAGTCATGGGGGACCTAAACTACCCAGACATCTGCTGGGAGACACAAAAAGCAAAGTCGCACCGTTCACGCACGTTCCTATCCTGCGTGCAGGACCTCCACCTGACGCAGGAGGTGCACGGTCCCACTAGGGGGAATGTCTTACTGGACCTGGTATTGGCAACGGGGGATGATATGGTAGGGGACCTACAGATTGGTAGTCACCTGCAGGACAGCGATCACCAAATAATAGAATTGACCATAAGACATCGAGTGGGTAAGGTAACTAGTAGGGTGAAAGTGCTGGACTTTAGGAAAGCTGATTTCAATGAACTCAGGCGATTAGTCAAGGACGCACTGCAGAGTAGGAGTTTTGAAGAGATGGGAACCCAGGAAGGGTGGCTGTGCCTTAAGGAAATGATCCTTCAGGCACAGAGGGAGATGATCCCGATGCGAGGGAAAGGGGCCAGGAGGCTTCCTTGGCTAACCAAAGAAGTCCAGGGCAGCCTGCGGACTAAAAGGGGAGCATATAAAAAGTGGAAACGGGGAGAGATTACCAAAGAGGAGTATACCTCCTCTGCTCGCACTTGTAGGGAGGCAGTTAGACGGGCCAAAGCTACCATGGAGCTGAGGATGGCATCCCAAGTAAAGGATAACAAAAAATTGTTTTTTAGATGTATAGGGAGTAAAAAGACGGCCCAGGGTGGAATAGGACCCCTACTAAATGGGCAGAAGCAATTGGTGATGGACAGGGGTACAAGGCTGAACTCCTCAATGAGTTCTTTGCCTCAGTGTTCCTAAGTGAGGGGCAAGACAAGTCTCTCACTGGGATTGTAGAGAGGCAGCAGCAGGGCGCCAGACTACCATGTGTAGACTCTGAGATGGTGCAGAGTCACTTGGAGGAACTGGATGCCTTTAAGTCGGCAGGCCCGGATGAGCTCCATCCGAGGGTACTGAAGGCACTGGCTGATGTC